GAGACCTGTGCAGACGATCGACTCTTGGCTGATAATGTTCGCTGCTGGGGCCCAATGTTATGGATAATTTCATATGAAGCTACCTGTAGACTGAGCAACTTTGAGAAGCATTTGAATATTCTGGTCGCCCCTAGCGCAGTGATTGTGATGCCTGGAACGCAGCCACTTCAGCAAAGTCGTTGTGGAGCGGTGTTGAGACGGTCTGACCACACCTCTAGCGCTTGGTCCATATTAGGTTTCTCCTTCATATGGAGAAGAAAATTACTTAATTCAGATGCTCCCTCTCATTCATTCTGACTCACTTCTTGAAGCCAAACTCCATACACGCAGCCTATTGCGTCACTACTCGAGCTAACCTCTGAGTTCAGCGAGAGCCACAAATTCAGCCACCTAGCTCGTTTTCTTGTTTGCAGACTCTTCCACCAGAGCGTTTCACACTTTTTTCTCACACATGACTAGTAAGTACTTCTCCGATGCTCAGAACGCGAAAAAAGTCGTCAGTCGCTAGTTCTACGGCTCTGACTCATCTGGTCATTGATACATTTATATATATGAAAATGTGGCTTTTATGGCAATTTTTCTGGCTTAGTAATGTCATTTCAATTTTTATTTTTCGGATTGTTTCATATTTTTCCCTTTAATCAAATCAAATTTCGATGATCATGGCTGAGTGATTAAGCTGTGTGTACTCTTGGTAGGCCTTGTTTTCATGGTTAACGACCCGAATAATACTGATAGGATGTTTACTACTTTTGCAAATCATCATGCAACGATTATGGCAAGGCGAAGAACACATAACTGAAAAAAGTAGCCTCAGTGATGGACTCCGCCAGTGTTGTGGACCAAACTTACAACTTAACTGCGCCATTATTTCAAGTTTTTTGGATTTTGGACGGTTTTCCGCTGAAGTTTTCAAAGTGCGATCTGAATAAATTTCACCTGGCTGAGCGCAATATTGACAGCGATGCAAATGGGTCTTATTACCAATCGGTTATAGCCGAGGCAGACCAGCTAGACCCACTGAAGCGTCAACTATTAACATGTATGAGAGAAGACGCGGTGATTGAGGACCAGTTGTATAGATGCAAAGATCGTATGGTGAGTCCTTGCCGTACACCTAACACACAGAGCACACTTCTATCCTATAAGCCTGTGAGGATTACTCTGCCTCGAGTAAGCACAGTTACCTCCTAGGCTCAATTTATTGAATGCTCTAGCATAAATCTCGTGCAAGCGGATGCGGACAGTTTTTATATACTCGACGAGTATAATTTGATCGAGATAAGTTCCATAATTTCGAAGGTATTCGTTGCGGATATTCTCATCAAGTCCGATATTTGCGCGCACACCCTCAGGTATAGTCCTCTCAGTCAGGAATGTGCGCTGGAAAAGTAGGTAGCTGAGCCAGCGGGTCAACCCTGCGTTGCGCAGTTCGCAACGGCACGTTGAGAGATCCTCAACGCACGCTGTATGGGCGGAGACACAGACGGCTCGAGCATGCGAGTGTGAATGTTCGCGCGAGAGAACGTGTCTAATCGGGCGAAACTGCGCAACGTGGCCGTTGAGAACTGCGCAACGCAGGGTTGACTCTGCTTCCGGGCGGGGCGGGCGTGAGCTTCGCGATCATGTTACCTGACCGAATGTGCTGAAATCTCTCGATGTTGCCCTTCTGCATTCTTGTCCTTCGTCTAGCACGTGAACCAAATTGAGGGCTGTGACAACAAATTTTCGAAGTCTGCGAAACAAAATAATTTCTGACGCAATACTGAAATACCTTGACATTCAACTCATACTAATTTAGATAAGAACAACATAATATAACATATATTTATCACTATTCAACAGATCTTACTCATGTTCAAATAAGTGACTTTCAATACAACGTCAATCACAGATTCGATTCATTTGACACAACGATCATAAAAAGTGAACGGGGTTAACTGAACTCATAAAGCAGTGAATAATCATTAAGTACAAAAGTTTGCATTCATATCAATTCTGGGAGCCCTGACAACTACTAAAAGAGGCGACAAGTGCGTACGGTTGTTCGTCTCGCAGTGAGTACAGCGAGAAGGAGACTGCAGCAGTTCACCTGCGGTGGCGATAAGCGGACTTTCGAAAAATGCCTCATAGAAAATTAATCGACTGAAGTGAGCCCCCGAACTCTAGAAGCAGGCCAACATGTCCCACCGCGCACTCACTGGATCAGAAGTGGCTGTGAACTCCCAGTAAAGAGAGACTTTTTGAATGCTCTTAGATATCAAACTCTATCGTCACTATTATTTAAGACTACTGAATATTAGGGAGTATCAAAAAGGACGAAAATTAGAAACCGCTGCAAAAAAAAACTGGACGTAAGAAGTGCTTAATACAATAGTTACTGTTATGTTAAAAAATCATTAATAGCTGGCCAGATTAGTAAAAAAAGAAAACTATCGAGGTCCATTTTAAATCAAGGCGGAAATCATAATTTGCACTCTATCGGATATTTAACACATGAATGCACCAGGATTAGAAATAGTGAAATTGCTAATGAGGAATGTGTGGCACCTGCCAAATAAATGGCTACCGTCTACTAATCAGCTGATGAGATACATTTAACAAATCTACCTAACACTTAGTTCTTAGTCGGCTGGCTTCCTCCAGTGTGTATTGAGGAAGTCCGTTATAGAATCGTAGATCATAAACGTGATTGCCACATCGAGAACGACTCGGCTCAAGCGGGGAACAGTGCCTTTGTAGAAGCTGAAACATTGTAGTCATAAAAGTATAAGTGAAAATGCGAGCAATTTCGAAGCGTAAGGAAAAAACCACAAACACCACATTGGTTTTACCCCAGCTGTTTCAATGCAACGGGTGAAAACAAAATACTTACGCAAAGAAACCCTCTTTCTTCCATATTTGCACAGCACAATCGATCGAATTTTTGTACTTTTTTGCATCTAATCCTTGCATCCTCGTTTTGACAACGTCAATGGGGGTGTTTCCTGAAAAGTCGACGAAGAATCACAGGGTAACTACTATCAGAACCGTGCGCTGAAGACATACCGTACACAGAGCAAAGACCTGCCACGGCTCCCATGAGACCGACAACTGGCTTGGATACCGTCTTTGATGGATCTCCACCACGGTACCAGTCCTTAAAATATATTACTGATCAAAAAGTGAGCTAATTTGGGGAATCTTCTCTGAGACTAGGAGACTACAACTTTGTAAAGTTTTGGACTGGGAGTACCTTCAGTGTTTCCATCACAAAGAATCGTATAGCTTGATTCGAACCTTGTTTGGCCATTGTTGCTGCTAAGCCCTTGTAAATTCCCTAAACATTTCCATATTTTGAGAAAAGTAATAAAAAATGCTTGGATTGATTTGCGACCTTAATGCAAGCAATGACGTGTACCAGATGAATTTGACATTCAAGGGTTTTTGGCGTGCACACGTCATGGAATTGTCCAAGCTCCCTAGTTTTTCAATTTTTTTCAATTTGCTACACTATATTTTCCGCCAGCTCTTCTCTTCGTCCGTTGACCGCTATATGTTTTCGTTAGCATTTTTAGCCGTTTCCAGTGATCTGTAGACTACTGTGTAAAGCTATGAGCTGAAGTGTTCAGTGACACGCGACTGCCGCAAAAACTTCACCAAGTGATTGGTGCACACACCCGACCCACAGAGAACCATATCTCCTGAGTGGTATCGAAATTCGCAAGTCAAGGAGGGCTGGGTTGGGGCTGAGCGGAGACTTGATTAGCTTGTGGTGGCATGAGGCAATATTTAGCGTGTCGCACTGCCTATGAAATCGGCGGTGCATAATACTAGAGAGACCAATCAATATCTAGGCAGCCTGTGCATCGCATCGAACTTAGCGTTCAGTTGTGGTCCGGATTAGAGAGAGATCATCGGTGTCACCATCTTTTCTTCATATTCCGCCCGCTTTCCAAGTAATGTAGACTACTGAATACATTGGTACTCCCTTTCTCATCATGTTATCGTTCTTTTTTCTTTCTCCTTTCTTTCTGGCACATTGTATGGTTTACTTTTCCTTTTACGTGGCGTTTTATTTGTTGCTTTACTGTTCACTACCATGTCCTGTGCAAATGAAAATCAAACATGCCCCATCACATCACATATTATGTTTTTGCAGGACAGAGCCGACTCATTTGTTATAAAATAAGAACCAGTTTAGCTCCGCCCGCTACCGCGCGCATGACACGGAAGCCTTTGATAGGACTGAGAATCGGTGAAGCTTTGGGTCTCACCGCTTAACTATAGCTGCTTCCTTAAATGCATTACTGTCCGTTGCTCATCTTGGCTGTATCTCACTGTTTGATAAGCGCAGTGAAGTGCACAGCTAAAGTGATGTATGTAAACAACCACCATGCATCGAGTATCGAGGTAATTTAGCGGTCGTCCGGAAACGTAATTAGCGGTCGAATAATTTTTGATGATCTCAAATTAGAATGCCCAGTATTCACTATCGTATTTATTCGAGCATCTCATTCATCCTCAAGAACTCGAGAAGGTGCAGCGGTCGAAAGGTGTTTGAGTTTACAATTATAACGCTAATGAAATGATATTGAAATGAAATGCACTATCTGCAATCTGGTTTCGAGTGATCTCTACGTTCGTACGCATATCATTACTATTAGTCCTCAGCTGTCGTTATCACTTTTTGAAAACCACAAAATATGTTACCGTCCCACCCCCATATCATGTCCCAAAATCAGTTCCTGACGACTGCTGCGAAGCGCACTATATATTTCGTGAAATTTGTGTTTCAGCGCCTCTTATCTGCTCTTATCAGTCGTTATCACTTTGTAACCCCCACCAAATATGTTCCCGCCCCACCCCCTATACCATGTCCCAAAATCAACTCCTGACGACTGCTGCGAAGCGCATTATATATTTCGTGAAATTTGTGTTTCAGCGCCTCTTATCTGCTCTTATCAGTCGTTATCACTTTGTAACCCCCACCAAATATGTTCCCGCCCCACCCCCTATACCATGTCCCAAAATCAACTCCTGACGACTGCTGCGAAGCGCATTACATATTTCGTGAAATTTGTGTTTCAGCGCCTCTTATCTGCTCTTATCAGTCGTTATCACTTTGTAACCCCCACCAAATATGTTACCGCCCACCCACTATATCATATCAAAAAATCAGCTCCTAACGACTGCTGCGACGCGTGCTATGAATTTCGTGACACACGCACACACACACACACACACACACACACACACGTACAGACAGACATAGCGTTTTATATATAGTAGGGATACTTACCGTAATAACTTCGTATACCATGTACGAGCTTCTATGAGAGGCCGCCTAATTAGTTATTACGAAATTACAAAAAAGTGCAAAAAAGGAAGTGTCACACTTACTCCAATTCCTTCACTCTTGATAATGCAACCGACTCCATGAACGAAACCTTTGAACCGTGGATTTGGAAGGCCTTGGTCATGAATGAACTTTACTTTGATAGTTTCCATAGGTGTGACGGCGAAAACAGCTTCCGATAGACCTGGAATCGATATCGATTTTCCTGCAAGAAAAATAACCTCAAAAGAAATGTTCAGGAGATGCTCTCAGAGCCACAGTAGAACTGTCTGATTCCAGCCACCAGGCAGTTTTGAATACAGAGTGCAGGTAGATCTGTTTCAGAGAAATGCAATAACTCACCAGCACCGAGGCCACAAAGGAGCCGCATTGCTGGCGGAAGATTTCCTCGTTCATCGACAGCCTTACTTTTCAAAAACTCGAATGTACCGAATCTATAAACACCTCATGTGAAACCGTTCGAAATCGCTCTTTGCTCTCTGTGAGCTTCTGTTACCGCGGAAGATATTAAGCGATAAATTGTTGTTAAAATTCACCTGAACGACGACTTTGGGATAGAACCGTAAATCAATACTGACAGCCCTCTGTACAGACCGAAGAACCCGTGATTTCTTACCGTCTGCTTGAGGCAATCAATTGGTCCCTTAAAAGTGGAATTTCAAGCATAGTGAAGTACTGTTGTGAACTGTAACAGTCGGTGACAAATCCTTTGCTCACCTTAAATTTCGGTGTTGCGGACCTTTCATCGAGCTGCAACTGCGTCTTAACATACTCGGTGGGAAACGTGATACAGACTTCGATACCTTAAATTTGTTGTTTATTTAAGTTTTGTCTTTTAATTTTGTTATATTTTTACACATAAGATTTAAGATATCGATTAGAGTTGAAACTGCCACAATTTCAATCGAAATCTTCTTTCTCTGATTCCACTGCAGTTTTAGGCAGTACGTTTTTTGAACCTGTCATGAATAGTTTTGGTCAATTCACCTCTGCTGCATAGTTCAACCCCAGCATTGCATATGTGACCCAGTCACAAAAAGTATAACTTGCGTCGAGTTTGTAGTCGCTGTGTAGTGTAAACGCCAGACCTCCAAACTGTGTTTATACCTGGTTAAAGGAGCAACCAGAAGCAACTTCTGCGGGAAGCTTTGCCACTAGTTATGCAGAAAAAGTGGATAGCAGACAACGAAGATGCGACACATTACTGACTTAGCAGCAACACTTGGGCACAAACTAGTGCTCGTTGTCGGCGGCAAAGGCTGCCTGTGTTTTGCATGAGCAGCCGGTTCAAGTTCACCAAGCATGACCGCAAACCCAATCGAATCCCTATCTCGTCCCGTGTTATCGCACAGAAATCGCTGGCTAGTAGCAAAGCCTAGAGGCGCCGCACCGGAGGAACACTTGAGAGGGTACTGATTCACCGCAACGACATATTCAGCACAGAAGAAACCAGAAAATACCTCCAGTGATTCCTCCGATTACTATTCCACGGAACAGTTTTCTCCGATGGACCATACCTCTTCCACACAAAGAACAAGCGACCTCTGAAATTGTCGTGGCCAGTCATTAACGATCAAATCAAAACAATGTCACATGAACAAATGATAGACGGAGGGGCGATCAGAAATCAAACGCAATGGTTGATGGAAGCATTGAACTCTGAGTTTTATTACTCTTACACTTTAGTGGTGAATCCTGCTTCCAAACCTCAACCCGTTCTTTGAAGAAGTAAATGGAGTTTAGCGAATTTTTTTGACCTTTCTGAGTTTTGTATTGGCGCAGCTGCCTGGGGTGATGATGTTTAGTTGGTAGCACCGATTCCAATCATCTTCTCCTTCATTTTTTGCTATAACCAATGCAGACATACCGCCCTCCACCCACGATCGAGGTGTGGGTACTTAGGACAGAACGCGACTTTTTCGCTCTTCGCAACGCGACATCGCGCGGCAGGCTGGCGCACCCGCAGCGAAAACAACTACGGTATGGAAGAACGCGCGATTGGAGCAGCTTTTTTTGCATGCGTGAATTTGTAAGTTTCTGATTCCTTACTTGCCCGCGCTCACACCCATTGTATTGATAAATGCGGTGAATCACTAATTCTGTCTCATTATTGAAAACGTTTTGTGACTTACACGATTCCGGGCGATGCCACTAAAATGGTGTTTTACGAATTATCGGTGAACGAGGGTTTAATAGTGTCGCTTGTGCTTGCATTTTGTGGGTTCATATTGTTGTATAGACTTCTGCATAAGGGTATAACATCTTAACTCTCATCAAACGTCCATCAACCATTTCTTCCAGGTTCTCCAGAAGCTCTACCATCCATCTCTACCGTAGTTGTTTTCGCTGCGGGAGCGCCAGCCTGCTGCGCGATGTCGCGTTGCGAAGAGCGAAAAAGTCGCGTTCTGTCCTAAGTACCCACACCCCACCACGATTAGCCCCATAACTCTCCACAAGAATAAGATTGAGCTAGTTAGTGAAGATTCGCCGTCATTCCCTTTGCCAGTTAGCATTGCGACGCAAGAAATATCATGTTCAAGGAGGTGAGATACTCTCACCTCTTTGAACATGATATTGATAACATGAAAGAGGCGAGGGGTCTATTCCATTTAGGGGGCGGGCATCATGATGCAGTTTCTCGGCGAGCTAATGTAAACTCAAACATTCCAGCTTCTCACG